AGTCCAGGTATGGCTTGGGCATCTCTGACTCTTTGCCACGCCCTCATGTTTCAGTGTTTCTTTACTTCTGGTGCATACCACACACTAAGGACCTACGGAGGTGAGCCTTACTCTAAGTGATAAAAGGATTACTAAAAACATCATGCCATGACTGTATGATAACAAAATCATCAATGAAATGTACCAGAGAAGCTGATGCATTATCAATATTCTCTGCTACCTCTGTTCTGCCAGTTTTTAAATTAGCTTTAGGAACAAAAACGTATCAGGCATGGGTCAGGGTTATAGGAAGAAACACTTGGAGAGTTGCTCACCACATTCTGAACTCTATCCATTTTTTTCTTCTTTAGGAGACAGGGTCTCACTACATTGTCGAGCCTGAGCTCAAGCAGTCCTCCCACTGTGGTCTCCTGAGTAGCTGGGATGTTAGACGGGTGCCACCATGTCCAACTTGAACTCTATCCCTTTGTATAACTTATCTCCTTGAATTCTTGCAAGGGTCCTAAGAGTTAAGTACTCAAATCTTTAAAATGAGGAAATAAAATGAAAGGGAGAGACTGGGTTCACCTTCAGGCTTCAAATGCCACACATCATCTTTCTGTCATATCACAGTAAAGAGCAAAACAGCACTTAGTAGTGAGTCTCTTTTATAAGTGCATACTTCAAAGCCTTACTTTTAAGGAATTGTTAGTTCATTTTAGACTTGTACATTTACCTACTATATATGGAAATAAAAACTGGTCAGAGACCTACCTGCTTTAAAACCCTAATGCTTATTATATTTTATAATCAAACTCTAGGCCAGGTACAGTGGCTCACGCCTGTAATCCCAACACACTGAGAGGCTGAGGCAGGTGGATCACTCGACGTCAGGAGTTCAAGATCAGCCTGGCCAACATGGTGAAACCTTGTCTCTACTAAAAATACAAAAAATTAGCCGGGAATGGTGGTGGGTTCTTGTAATCCCAGCTACTTTGGAGGCTGAGGCAGGAGAATCACTTGAACATGGGAGGCAGAGATTGCAGTGAGCCAAGATCTTGCCATTGTATTCCAGCCAGGGAGACAAGAGCAAAACTCCACCTCAAAATAAAAAAAAAAAAAAAAATTCAAACTTTCCTGGCTTTAACACACGTCAAATGTAATAACCTTGAAAGAGGAAGCGAGTATTATAAATTCTATGGGACAACTCCTTAGAAAGCATGGCATATCATGTGCAGACAGTTAAGTTTTAACTCTTCTTTTTTAAAAATTAGAGTTGATTTACAGAAAAGTGATAGAGAATTCATACTTCTCCTTCAAACAACTAAAAAGTGAGTTCTTATACTTTGAAAGTCATCCTGAACAACAGTCCATCATCTCTATCACAAAGCTCCCAGCATGTGTAACTCTGATGAGAGGAAGGGAGACAGTGCTGGGAGCAGTAGGAGACCCCATTTTGATGGGCACAAAGCAAGTGCATCCATTTTGGCCAATTTAGGGACATAAGTTTTACTCCTGTGATCCTGTAAGCTTGCCTTTCTCTCACCGTTCCCTTTCCTTCCCTTGTCTCTGTGTCCTATTCTTTCCATTACCTCTTGTTATGGACTTGTGTGCCCTGAAAATTCATTTCAAGATCCTAACCCCCAAAGTGTTGGTATTTGGAGGTCGGGCCTGTAGGAGGTGATTAGGTCACAGGGTTGGAGCACTCAGCACTCACAAATGAGACTAGTGCTCTTATAAGGGGCACTCATGCAACCTAGAAGAAGGCTCTCACCAGAACCCAACCATGCGGACATCCTGATCTCAGACTGCCAGCCTCCAGAACTGTGAGAAATAAATGTATGTTGTTTATCAGCCACCCACTCTACGGTACTTTGTTATGGGGGCCCAAACTGACAAAGAAACCCCTAGTTTATGTATACAGTGGGCCCTAGAAACAAAACCATGTAATAACAACAAAACGTAATTTAAAAACATATATTAAGCGCTGGTACTGTGAGGCACTGTGCTAAGGGCATCACGTGTGTTAACTCATTCAACCAAGCAACTGTATGAAGCCGTGTTACTATTTTATAGCCAGGGAAACTGAGCAGACAAAGGGTATGCAACCTACCCAGGGCCACAAAGCTCTCATGATAGAGCATGATTTGAGTTCTGGGCAGGCAGAGCAGCCACATGGCACAATTCTAGGGGGACCACATCGTGATGTTCTGTGGTGTTACCATCCAGAGGCACCTGGAGCTGTGTGCTCTAGCAGCCTATTGGATCAGCCTGGAACTTAACTGTTAGGCTACACTGTTAAGTGTAGATCTTAAACATGATTTCGAAAAAAGCCCTCATTCATCTCAAAGGCTGACTCACTGAGTCTTTTCAACACTTCTTCGCCCTTCCCAGGACAACTTCCGAGGTAGAGCCAGGTTCCAACCTCAGGGGGAGTGAGCCTAGAGGGTGGGGCCGGAGCAGTCAGCTGCTGAAGCAGGAAAGGCACAAGCACCTTTTCTTAGTGTCTCAAATCTCGCTAATGTCAAAGTCTCAACCATCATTATTATTACTAGTACTGAGGTTTTAAGAGCCCACTTTTTCAAAATGGGCTCAGAAAGAGGAATCTTCCCCTGCTACTGCCCTCATCCCTCTCTCCCTATGTCATGTTCCCACCTCGGTTTGCTATGCTTGGGCAAGAAAAATGACGTCCCATCTTTAGTCAGTTCATTTCCTGTTGTGCTTTGTGAGAAGCCCAGCTGCACTAAGTGGTAGCAACAGTTAATTAGTTGCACTTTCTAGAAAAGGTATTTCTGTTTCCCCATTGTCCCTATGCCTCAGGTCAGGAGCTTGTGCATACGAATGAGGTCATCTTCACCTGAGTTTCCTAATTTCTGTGGCTCGTAATTCCCTCTGGTACTGTTCCAGGGTCCCCTTACTATGTGTACATTTCTAAGAGCATCTATGAGGCCTGTCACCTGTGCTTAAGATCAAGTCTGTACCCTCTGAGTACAGGTACTCTCTCCTGTTAATCTGTGCCTGGCATCTGCTGGGGTGGCTGGGCAGCTGCCCTGACCACCAAGCACCCAACCATCTGTTGTCAGACACAACAATTTCCACTGGTACCTGATGCTACTCTTCTGGGAGAATGCTGCTCCACCTGTGAGGCCAGCTCATATGTGGCCTCAAGCTAAAAAAGCTTCCAGGAATCAAAATAGCACTGTATTCTGCCCAAACAGCATCAGTCTTGCTTATTGCAAAATTGGGGGTTGAAGGTAGTCCCTCCTGATAGGGATCAGACTTAGTGCCTGGAGCAGCATGAGGACATGCTTCTATGTGACTTCTCTCACTAGAGGCCCCAGGTACAGGTTCACATATGTATGTCTGTCCATCCTTCAGCATAGGAAAGTGTACAGAAACAGAGGGATCCAGTTACACATATCCAACTCAGTTTATGCTCATTTATATTGAATTTGAGTTTCTGCAGAAGAAATCAGTTATTCAAAGTATTTATTTTAGTATATAGAAACTGTTACTGTTCATCTCTTTTTTTGTTTTTGGAGACAGTCTCACTCTGTTGCCCAGGCTGGAGTGCAGTGGCACAATCTCGGCTCATTGCAACCTTTACTTCCCGGGTGCAAGCGATTCTCCTGCCTCAGCCTCTCAAGTAGAAGGGATTACAAGTGCTTGCCACTATGCCCAGCTAAGTTTTGTATTTTTAGTGGAGACAGGATTTCATCATGTTGACCAGGCTGGTCTTGAACTCCTAGCCCCAAGTGATCCACCTGCTTCGGCCTCCCAAAGTGCTGGGATTACAGGCATGAGCCATCATCACTCCCAGCCCTATTGTTCATCTCTTGATCAATATCAAGAACAAAACTGGTTAACCATATATGTACTATGAAATGATAATTGGAAGTCATCCCCAATAATATCTTGAAAAAGGAACACAAAGAAGAGAATCAATATTTTAACATTCATTGAAATACAAGTCCCATTTGATGACATTCAGAAAAGATGACATTAACAATGATTCCAGAATTAACTCTAATGTGGTGACCACAAACAACAGACATCTGAACATGAACGAGTTAAATTTCAAGCAAAGTGCACTCACTAATAACTTAATAAGAGCTACTCAGCACATTATGGGTTGGAGCTCAAGGAAGACAATTGAATCCAATGAAGAATTATTCAAGTTTGGAGAATATGCTAATTTTCCTCTGGTATTAATTTTAGAAAACATAGGTTTTCTCCTCCAGGCAATTATTTTAATGAATCAACTGGAGTTTCAAGAAATAATCAAATGAGTTCAGTTTGGTTTCAGGTTCAGCAAAATGAGATCACGCATTCTGTTTTTGAATGAGGTTGAGGTCAGGTTCTTTGTCTAAACAGACTAATAGATAGGAATTGAGATAATCTTATTTTTATGCCCTTGACTTCTCTGATCTTTCCTCCTGTTTCTCTGTCCCAAACGTCTATAGATTCCTGTGTTTTGATCTAATTGAACTTTTCTGTATTATATGTTAACTTCTCTTCCCTTCCAAACTGAGTTTATTGTCAGCTCTCTCAGTCTTTTACTGAACTACTGTAACAATGTTCCTTCCTACTCACAAGTGGGACACTGATGAACCAACAAGCTACTCCTTTTATCAATGCCTTCACTCTTATTCAACTAGATGACCACATATTAATATCATGCTAATAACATTTTTGTGGAACCAGAATGGTAAGCGACTTGAAGATAACACCATCTCTCAAAATACAAGTGCCCAGAGCAATGCTCAAATGAGTATAAGCACAGAGTTAAACAGTTAAAAATAATGTACATCAGTAAAAAATGTAAATCAGCAAAAATTTTCCAAATAACAGCTTACACAATTTGTGAGGTCAATGGTAGAAATGATAATGTAGAGAAGAAAGAATTCATTTCTTTACAATTTTCAAATTGCAGCCTGAAATTGGTATTGGTGTTATATTGACTCTTGGCAGAAATGGTTTCTTCCTAGACATGGGAAAAATAAGCTCCAGATCTTTCTTACCTGTTATGGTGGCTTTGTTGATGGATGGTTGGTTGCACATGGGTGATCTTCTGACAAAGACAGAAAAACACAAAGCAGTAAATACGTGGGGCTTGTTGATCTGATTGCTCTCTGAGTCATTTTAGATATAGCATTTTACTTTAAAAGATTATTTTTAAGTTTGGACATGCAAATGAGTTCTTTCAGACTAGCCAGACAAGTCCCTAGGTGTTCTCTGTATTATGGCTCAGATCACACATGCCCAAAAAGAAAACTGTTAAATCTCACAGTGATTGACTTGGAGTAAATAAGCTGATATAAGTGCCACTGGGACATGAGAGAAGAGGAAATTCATATTGACTCTATTCACTGCAGCCAGGGCTTACAGACTTTCTGAATTTGAAAAAGCAGTCAATGTATCATTGTTTTCCCTAGCATAGGGTTAAGAAATTTTTATTGTTGGCATAAATTCTCATGATTGCCTGTACATTATGAGAAGCGAATGACTTGTTGTAAACTATCTTATAATTAGAGAAGCTATTTGAAGTTTTTTCTTTCTGTTTTCTTATATTGAGAAACATCTCTGATATATTTATTAGAGAGGCATATTAACGACTTTTCTAAGTAGATACTATAGAGGCTTTAGAAATATTATAAACCAAAGATACTTAAATAAATTCTATCTTGTATTCTCTAAGTTTTCAGATGTTTGCTGAGTTTGCCAAAATGACTATAAACCCCTTGAAGTTAAAAAAACAGCACACGGTCTCTGATTAACTTATGTTCCCTATAGAGCCTAGCACAATGCATCCAGTATTCTGTCAGTGCTTAATAAATCATGTTGAAAAGAATATCATTTATAAAATATTCATCATTTTTGAAATATAACTTTATAAAGTTATTACTTATAATTGACAACTTTGAAAATATAATTTTTAAAACATACTTTTAGATTCATTCAAAGAGTCTGATATAAATATATTAGATATATGATAATCATAGATATATATTGCCTCTACTAATGGCCAACACTTAATAAACACTTCCTGTGGACCGACATTGCTAAATAAGCACTTTAAATGAATTATCTCATTTAATCCTCACAATAAGCATTAAGGAAGTAAATTTCCTTCTTCTCATTTTACCAACGAGAAAAACAAAACTTTGAGACTTTGAAGAACTTGTTTTAAGTAACAAAGTTGAGATTTGAACTCAACTGATGTGGTCCTAGAGCCTACACTCTGCTCTGTTGCCTTCGTTTTAGATGGTTTTTTTGGAACCCATGTGCACAGCCTCACATATGTGCAGATGGCATCAGGCTCTTCAAATATGCCTCTCTCTTAGCAGGGCTGGGGAAACATGGGGAAAGCAGCCTAGGATTTTGTAAATTCTCACTGGTTCCACTCAGCCTCTGGCTCCCTTTCATTTCTCTTAAGTTTATTGGCATCAGTTTGGGATTAAAATTTTGTGTTTGACTGAAAATGCACCAAATTTTACTTCTGAATTATTTTAGTTTTTTTAATTATAAAATAAAATGGTTGGGGGGAAAATTTAAACTTGATAAACCAGAAGGTCAATGTTTTAAGTAGATGTTCTGAAATAGCTCTGGTCTATATATCAGTAATTATCTTCTTTTAAAATTTTTCAAAAAAATTTTTGAGACAGGGTCTCACACTATTGCCCAGGCTGGAGTGCAGTGATATGATCACAGCTCACTATAGCCTTGAACTCCTGGGCTCCAGTGATTCCCCTCACTACCTCAGCCTCCCAAGTAGCTGGGACTACAGGTATATGTCACCATGCTTGGCTAATTAAATTTTTTTTTTTTTTTTTTTTTTTAGAGATGGGGTCTTGCTGTGTTGAACAGGCTGTTACTTTCTTGCTAAGAGTTTATCATTCAAATAATTGATATCCTGATTATTTCTTTTTAGTCCTTGCTCTGTGAAAATGTAGAAATCATTGATTTTCTCTGGGAAGGGTAAGAAATGAATATTTTTACACTCTTCTACAGTTTTGGAAAACCAGATGTTTGACTAGTTATTAATGATCTCCTCTTACTATCAATCCTACAACTAATTGGCACTCAGGAACTTGATAGCTCAACAAGTAATGGCAAGCAGAAAATATTAATCCTTTGATCCATGGTTGCATCGATACCTCCTTCAATGACAAATGAGCCAGGACTCACTTCTGGAATCAAAAAATCTCAGGAGCAAAACAAAAACAAGAACAAAAAACGCAGGGTGACAGGAACCAGTGGTGTCTAACAAGTCAGCAATGTGCATCTGAATACTGGCCCAGGGCTTGGGTTTTGAACGCATTCTTCCTAGACTCCTTTTCTGCAGCAAATAAAAAGGGTGGCTTGTGCAAGGTAGCACACGCCTTCCACAAAATCCAAGGGTGAGCTTGGAAATGCTCTATTGGCTCTATGAGTGCCAGCAGGGAAAATTCTGATTCCTCCACGGTCATCCTGTGGTGAGCCAGTTCTATCACTTGGTTCTCACTGAACAGAACTGAGTTTAGCCATGTATAGATTAAATCCTACTGCTCTGATACCAAAGAAGCTGATTTGGTTTGAAACAGTAATAAGAGGCACAAATTTGCATTGACCAAAGGAAGACCACAGGGGCCTTTACTTAGAGTCTGCCAGATAATACTATTTGGTTAGATGTCACCCTGGGCATTGTTAAGACAGGGAGGAAGTTTGGGTTTAAGCTATGATTTTCTGTTTTCTTCTAGCTCTTCCTTTCCGTTTTAATCTGTTTGGTCCCTGTAAGTCAGCAGAAAACTTCTGTTTTGCATAGAACAGGCCTCAGATCATCTCTCTGCAGCCTGACTGATCAACTATTTGCCTGCCACAGATTTAAATGCTGGTACCCAGGTGACCACATGTAAAAGAAGCATAAAGGCAGTTTCTTGTTCACCTTTAAAGACAACAATCTCAGTTTCCTGGGTAAAATTCGAGACAAAAATGTTTGCGAGTGATAACCAGTAACTTCATTTATTCTGCAGAGCTGAGATTCTCTAATGGAGAGGTGACTGACCTGATAAGTTACCAAATCCTCAAAGCCCCAGGGGGCTGCTGAGGTCAATATGCTATTGTATGGCCATGTTACATAGAAAACGTAATTGATAATGAACAGGTACCTCAAAGCACGCCCTCAGATTTCACATGCTGAGTTACTACTTTACTCTATCAGCGGAACAGGCCTTTGCAGAGTGATAGACTATGTATTATGCTAGGCACAGGGAATACAAATGCGAACCAGCTACACCTCTACTCACTGGGAACTGACAGTGTCCAGCAGCATCCCAATAGACAAATGGGCAACAGGACACAGAGAGATACATGCTAACATAGGAATCAAGCACGAGGTGCAATGAGACAGAAATGGAAAGGCACATCACCTTGATTAGGGCTTGTGAGTGTGTGCTATGGTGGGTATTGTCAGGTGCAATGCTCCAAAGAAATTTTATTTAAGCTGCAACCCAAAGAATGAATGACAATTAGCCCAGTAGATGAGGAGAGAAAGAAGATGAGAAGTGTGCAAGCTGAGCAAATAGGACTGCAAAAATTCACTACCTGGAAAAACGGAGGCTAATGGGTTCCATTCCAATTACTTGCATTGTGGCATCTATATTGATTTTTAAAAACTTTTTTCTATCACAAGAAGTACTTGAATAATGGCCAGAGCTATTTTTGATAATGGAAAATGTGAATTTTGATTTTATTATTATGAAATGGAAAGTTCAGATTTTTCACTATTTTTAAGAAGTAGTAACTACTATGAAAAGTTATACACTTAGGTAAGTTATAGTTCCTAATACATTTATATTCACTATCCTCTTAATATTGATTTAAATTTTTTTTTCTGGAAAATTATTTGAAATTGGTATTTTAACATTTTATTTAGTATTAATAACAGATTTTTAAATGGACATTTAATAATAGCAAACCGGTTTTCCATTTAATATTGAAAAATCACTTCTTTCCTTTTAGATTTTTTTGCCTTTATCAAGAACTCGAAATGATAATCATTTCCCATATTAGCTTTCCCTCTTTCAAACACTTTCTATGTTGTCATATAAATCACATTTCTATTAATTGCTCCATGAATGCTGCTGATTTGAAAGTCAGTAACAGCAGGAGAATCAAATATTTTTGCTATGATATGGCGCTTCTCCAAACCATCATTATCTTGAGAGGATGACTTTCAGCTGACCTTAAGGTGTGATGAGATTATTCACCCATGGTTCATTTATGAAGTAAGCCAAAACTATAAAGTTACCCTGAGTGTAAATAACTGGGCAGAGGACTGATGATGTCAGGTGATTTCTGACAGATGGAATCACCATATTTATTTGTCATACTGCTTCATTTCTGATATTAGAACCATCACCACAAAGTATTTATAGAAAATTAACGAGACATCATATGACTTGGTGTACACGGTTAGACAACATGGCAACGACACAGAGAAGTCTAACATATTGCCTGGGGTTCAATCACATTGAGGAAACTTATTTAAGAATTCAGCAAAAAAGAGGGGGAAGAAAGGATATCTTACTTGCTAGGTGCTCGGTCTTGCAAATTAGTTAATGCAGCAAAGTTGTTTCGTACAGTTCGCAGACTGGCCAAGACCTACAACAAGAAAGGATTCTTGAAACTTCTTGAACTAAGGCCATTTTAAATACACTGGAAAATGGTTTGTTAAGAGAAAACTTGATACTGCTTGCAACTTAGTTTCAAATACCACTAAAGAATCTCCCAACACTTGGTGAAATTTGCAGGTATCCACATGAAATCCAGAGAGGCCAGACTGCAGGGATTTTCCAGAAATCTCTCCGCATTGTCTATGAATATGGTGACAGTAGCAGCAGTTTCCACAGTATTTCTGGGTTCCTTAGTCACCAAGACAATACTCCAGGTGATATACATATAGCATGATTGCATTTTATGCGCATTTCAAATAGTATAATATAAAATGTGAATAAATCTCACTTTAGGGATAAAAAATTCCCTGCTCCCAAATTCTCTTCAAAAATTGATTAAGAATCTCATAATTTTAAGTTGGCAAGCGAAGTGAATTTTAAACTGTTTTTCTAGCTTAGATACATGGCTACTCTAGCTAGTAAGCAGACATTGTTTTCTTTTGTTAAGGTCATCTGAATTGTGCATTGTAAGCTCTCAGGGATGCATTTCTTTCATAAAATGCTACTGCCCTGTACATGTACAATGCCTGGCACACAGAAGATCATAAAAATTTGTTGAATAAATGAATACATAGACACAACATGCCCACACACATGACAAGGCAGGACCAATAGGTGTCACTTTCTCTAGTAGCCTCTTCCTTTATCTAGTTCCGGTTGGAACTAGAAAGTAGCCAACGGACTGCAAGTGAGCCTGGGAGAAGGTTAGGAGGATGTTATCTCCTTCTTTCTTCTTCCCTTTCTCCTGAAATGGGCAAGTTTCCCAGGGTCAAACCCATATTAGATGGCATTATAAGTGATCTGGGTGACGACTAGAATGCTAAGTTTATATAAAACACAGATTTCAAATGTCCAAGTAGGTACTATGTAACAACCTAGACGGCCTGGCTCTGCTATGTAGTAGATGTGTGAACTTGGACTAGTGATGTATCCTCTCTGTACCTCAGCTTCCTGAGCTGGAAAACTGGGATAGTGATATCCACCTCGCAGAACTGTTGTGAGGATTATATGGAATGACAGGTTTGGTGCCAAGAACAGTGCCTGGCAAATAGAAAGCACTCAGGCAGTATCAGCGCATGATGGCAGTGTTACCTTTGACTTCATGACTTGGCATGCACATGGAAAATTACTTAATCCCTAACATTGGTAATTCAAGAGTCTCCAAATTTTTAATTGTTTCAAGGGTTCCAAAGTTGTTTTCAGAAATTTTTCATGTGGCACAGATCTAGACTAAAATCAGTCGAATTTTTTTTCTAAGACAAAAATGTCCCAGACTCTGTTTTGTTGTCGTTTACAAAATTGACATTCATTTGTGTAAGTCAATGGAGAGGTGTGTATGTCCTGGGACAGTGACTTACAGTGTTTTCCCCTGAAGGAGTTAATGCTGCTTCCTAAGAAGCCAACTGTGATTAACTCAGTCACTGGAAAAACCTGGCTCATTATCTCATATAAACAACCCACGGCTCTGAAAGGTCACGCTGCCTATGATGGAGTAGTCAAATAGCCAACTGCTGACATCAGACCACGATGTCTTTCATTAGGCATGAAATTTTGAATGATGAATAAGTAAATCAGATAAATGATCCACTGTCATTAAATCATGCAGGCTTAATTTATGTTTTAAAAAGCGAATATGAAACACACTAATGAAGACTTTAAGATAAAATCATTGCACCAGATAATCGATCCCCTTCCTAGGAAAAAATTTTAACCCCAGAATTCTGAGATTTTTTATTCCAATACATAATAGTTAAGTTCATTACAGTTGACAGCTGGATAAATAGACATAGAACTGCAGGCAATTTATTTTCTACGCTCATTTGAAAGGAAACATCAGTCATGAAAAGAAACATTAGTTCATGATAGAAAAAAATTTCTGTAGAGAAGCTTTGCCTCTGTTATAATAAACATCTAATTTAATACACAATCTAATTTAATATTATTTTGTCTTAACTTTTAATTTAAAATTTATTTTTGTATAATTTATATCTTGACGTGGTTCTGAATTTAAGCAAAAGGGTTTAAAGCAAAAAGTCTCCCCTTCTATAATTAAGAGTCAAAATTATTGTTATTTCAGAAAAGAGGCAATAGAAACAGATTATTCTGGGGAGGGACACTCATGGGCATTAAAATACTGATACTGTTCGATTTCCTAAACTGTTCATTTAGCATTATTCTTTATAATGTGCACAATTACCAGCTATACTCTCTTACAAATATGAAATACTTCAAAACAAAGAGTGAAAAAAAGAAATCTGTCTCCCAGTCTCTCCTTCAGACATTTAGCTGCCTGGTCACTAGCAATCAACTTTTAGGTTTTTATCTTAAAGTTTTTTTTTTTTTTTTAAACACTGTTGCAATAAATAACCTTGTAGAGACATTATTCCCTATGCATGCCATTATTAGTTTATTTATTGTGTGTGTGTGTTTTGCAGTAGGACAAACAATATTTTATAAATTTTATGTTCCATATTAACTATTCTCTTCTACACTATAACATGGTGTAAACAGCAGAAGTGTAAATAGTTCCAGATAAATTTTATAAGGGGGTGCGCCTTGGGCCTCGCTGATTGACATTTGGTGTCATTATCACTATTATTACTGTGTTAGTCTTTCAAGCTTTCACTTTGCACTGCAGGGCACAAAGAGAGAGGCATCTGTTACTGTAGGCTGTGGGGAGAACTAGAAACACTTTTACCGAAGTCCCTAGGTTAAATTTCCATTGTTCTTTTTGTTCTGGGCAAACTTCACTTCCCCTGATTTCAGCTTTTTAAGAGCTGTCGTCAGAGCTGTAATGCTCCTATAATAGTCCTCACTCCTTAATGCTTGCTAACCAAAAAATTGCCCGAGGTTTCTCCCACATAGCTCAATGGTTAGAAAATTAAGGTCATTTCTTTCTCTTCTGCCCCACCAAGCAAAAGTCAATGTGAAAAATACATTGGGAATGATGAGAGATATCTATTCCTTAGGAAAGAAATACTGGTAGTGTTACAGAAAAATTTTGGGCAAAGATGGTTCATGTATTAGCCCATGGGGAAGGATTCAATGTTATTTACATGACACTACTCTCGGATCCTAGGTGCTTCTAAACATTTATTAACCGATAGGATTCACTGAAAATAGCAGAAAAATGCAGCTCTCATTTAACATTTAAACAGCTGAACATTGGCCGGGGGCAGTGGCTCACTCCTGTAATCCTAGCACTTTGGGAGGCCGAGGCGGGCGGATCACGAGGTCAAGAGATTGAGACCATCCTGGCTAACATGGTGAAACCCTGTCTCTACTAAAAATACAAAAATTAGCTGGGCGTGGTGGCGTGCGCCTGTAGTCCTGGCTACTAGGGAGGCTGAGGCAGGAGAATTGCTTGAACCCGGGAGACGGAGAGGTTGCAGTGAGCCGAGATCGCGCCACTGCACTCCAGCTTGGCACTTGGCAACAGAGTGAGACTCTGTCTCAAAAACAAAAACAAACAAAGAAACAGCTGAACATTATAGCCTAAAAAAAAAAAAAAAAAAAACCAGGGAAATAAATGGTTTTAATGATTGTTTTTCATAACCATATACACTTGCTACCACTAGATGGCGGTAAAACACAGACCATGAGTTACCATTGGCGGCGAGGGAAGCGGAGACTGGCACTAGGAGAGATCCATTACTTCGGTTTTAACTCCGGAAAAAGCTGGAGTGAAGTTATGCTTATTTACAAAATAGAAATGTCATTTTTATGAAAAGAAACCCTCTTTCCAAGTTATGTTTGTTTAAACTGTATGAAATTACTGGTCTGTAAACCAGAAAAGGTTGATAGACAATTTTATATGATTTGATCTAAAAAGAACTTAGATATCCAGAAGATAGTAGTTGTAATTTAAATTATTTAAGGCTAAAGACAAGCTAAAAAAAAACACCAACTGCAACCAGGCGACTCTCTTCCTTCAGAGCCTGGCAGTGAGGCCCTAGTACAGTCTGCAAGCTTGGGGATGGTGATGGGGTCACAAGATCGTTGCTGCTGGGTGAAGTGGCTGAGAGACAGGTAGGAGTATTGAAAGAATATTGGTTTTGGTCTATTACCAACTAAATGGTAATACTCTATAGTGTTAATAACTACTGCGTTTTTTTCCTAGAAGCATCCCAGGTGCTGCATTTTGGTTAGAGTAAAGGCAAAAAGACGTAGTTGTTGTTCCTACCCTGTATTCTCAAATCAGGAATAAATATCTCCTTAGTCTGAAGGATGTGAGGGTTTCTCCAGGGATCCAGTATACAGCTTGGGTTTTCCTGCTTTCTCTTTCATCAGCGTGTGCTTCATTTAACTTACATACATCAGAATTCTAGTCAACTTAGAGTTTTACTACAGGGTGGTGCTGTCACAAATCCTGGGATCACTGAGCCCAGAGGCAGCTGACCACAGAGAAGAGCTTCCTACAGCTCATCTGCCTGTGCCTCCTTAGGGCTCCTTGGCCCCCAAGAGCTCTGGCTAAGAAAAAAAGGTCAGTTGCTGAGTACACTCCAGTGGGATTTCTCTGTAGCCTTCATGCCTAAAGAAATACTCACACCAAAAGATTTCAGCACAAACACAAGAAAATACTTCAACAATTGAAATAAAAAAATTTAAAGCTGTCACTTTTTCTGGGGACCAAAGGGATTTTGAACTTACAGGGGGAAGCATAAGAAATCAGAAGTGGAAAAGAATTTAGGTTAAACACCAGCAAGAATTTCTAGCCCTGACAGTGCTTTAGACAATGGGATAGACTATGGAGAGATATTACAGGATCCTTTCTGAAAATTACATCTAACCAAGATGTCTTATGCTTTAGCCTGGCCAAAAAAGTGCAATATATCTTTAACATGACTTCCTACATTCTCTAATTTACGATTTTATTTTTTTCATGCCAAAGGAAACCATGATTTGGAAAGACCAGGAAGGAATCCTTTTGCGTTTTAGAGATGGACTCAGGCATAAAGAAATTAGTTCTCAAGAAGAGGTAGAAGATTAGATGGGTTTGGGAGAAGATCTTTGAATACTTTGGACAGAAGAGGGCCATTTATAGGAACCATGGGAAAGAAAATATGCATAGAAAAATGAATATCAAGAATATAAAGTAAAATGTCAGCAGTTATTTAGGGGTTTGGAATTTAAAAAATTTTTGTTTTCTTCTTCTTTTTTTTTTTTTTTTTTTTGAGATGGAGTTTCGCTCTTGTTACCCAGGCTGGAGTGCAATGGTGCCATCTCAGCTCACCACAGCCTCTGCCTCCTGGGTTCAGGCAATTCTCCTGCCTCAGCCTCCTGAGTAGCTGGGACTACAGGCACGCACCACCATGCCCAGCTAATTTTTGTATTTTTAGTAGAGACGGGGTTTCACCATGTTGACCAGGAGGGTCTCGATCTCTTACCTGCCTCGGCCTCCCAAAGTGCTGGGATTACAGGCTTGAGCCACCACACCCGGCCTTATTTTCTAAACTTTTTAATGATAAAAGTTTTGCTTTTATTTTGTTTTGTTTTGTTTGTTTGTTTGTTTGAGAAGCATAGGTTTTCCCCTAAAATTTAGTGTGAAATTCCAAAGTTCAAAGCATACTAGGAAAAGAGGATAATTCTTTGGCCTACTTGACTGAATATTTTTCTGAGTTACTTTTCTAAAACCAGTTGTTTTCTGTCCTTTGGTGAAAGCAATTATAATATATCAGGCCAAATTAGGTTGGTAACACTTCAAGTGACATAAATATCTTATATTTTTAGTATTAAAAGAGTTAATGCTAAAATAGTTAGCATTTACCATGAAATGGTAAGTGCTCTACTTTGTATTAAAGAAAATTTGAGGGCCGGGCGCGGTGGCTCAAGCCTGTAATCCCAGCACTTTGGGAGGCTGAGGCGGGTGGATCACGAGGTCAAGAGATCGAGACCATCCTGGTCAACATGGTGAAACCCCGTCTCTACTAAAAATACAAAAAATTAGCTGGGCATGGTGGCGCGTGCCTGTAATCCCAGCTACTCAGGAGGCTGAGGCAGGAGAATTGCTTGAACCCAGGAGGTGGAGGTTGCAGTGAGCCGAGATGGCACCATTGCACTCCAGCCTGGGTAACAAGAGTGAAACTCCATCTCAAAAAAAAAAAAGAAAAAGAAAAGAAAAAATTTGAGGAATTAATGATTGGGTCAGCAAAATATGCCAATCACGTCCAACAGGGTTTAAGAGAAGGTCACCTAAATGTATTCACTGGGACTTCTCTCTTACCTGCCTCCCCATAGATGCTCTACCAGTGGTGAAACTCTTCAGGGTTGAACAGTTGTTTTGTTTTGTTTTTAATTCTAGTGGGGCTTTCCAGATCTTACACTCCGGTAAAAGGCCACTTGTAAAAACCATGATGAAGCCACTTAAAAAAAATCTGCAGCCTCTCGAGTAATGACCACCCTCTCTAAGGTGTCCTGAGTCGCTTAGCCAATCACAAGCAAAGTCTTAATATATTATGGGATTATTTTTAGGCATCAAATATGCCTAGAAATTATACAAAGTTGATTTATATTTAAAGTTCTAATTTCAAGTACATTAAGTATACATCTTTTAAATTTAAATAGATTACTAACATGGATAAATTATCTAACTGTGTATTTCCCAATATCTTGAAATTCCTTTCTTGGAGATTATAAGTACACTACCGAAAATGTCCAGTCAGGTAGAAGACCATATTTCTTTAGATTTAAGAGCACTGATGGCAGGGTTCAAGTCCAATTTATGAATCTATTTGTTGCAGATTAATAAACATTACTTGAAGAAAGAAGACCAGATATCATACACAGAATATTTTTCATTTTTTGTTAAATATTTATATACACATTTTCTTATAATAATACCTAGATAGTTTGGTTAGAAACAAGAATAGCTACCTGAATGAACTCAAATTGGAATGATTGGTTTTATGTTTGGTAACATTACTTACATTGTTATGCCTTATTTTGTCTGTTCACCTCTCTTTCAGCTCTTATAGAATGATAAGTTTTCTACAGTTATTAAAAACCTCTAGCTTTATAAGATTTTGCTATCATGTAATATTATTAAATCATTTAAGTGTGCCGGGCACGGTGGCTCAAGACTGTAATCCCAGCACTTTGGGAGGCCGAGGTGGGCGGATCACGAGGTCAAGAGATCTAGACCATCCTGGTCAACATGGTGAAACCCCGTCTCTACTAAAAATACAAAAAATCAGTTGGGCATGGTGGCGCATGCCTGTAATCCCAGCTACTCAGGAGGCTGAGGCAGGAGAATTGCCTGAACCCAGGAGGCGGAGGTTGCAGTGAGCTGAGATCGCACCATTGCACTCCAGCCTGGGTAACAAGAGCAAAACTCCGTCTCAAAAAAAAAAAAAAAAAAGAGAGATCAAAACCATCCTGGCCAACATGGTGAAACCCTGTCTCTACTAAAAATACAAAAAAACTAGCTGGGCATGGTGGTGTGCACCTGCAGTCCCAGCTATCCGGGAAGCCAAGGCAGGAGAATTGCTTGAACCTGGGAGGCGGAGGTTGCAGTGAGCCAAGTTCTGTCTCAAAAAACAAAAATCATTTAAGTGTAAATTTTTTGGACATAGAAATACAGGTACTAAAAAGAATTCATAATCTCCAGCAAAACCTTCAGCAAACAACATGTTAACCATTTGAAAAGGATGGTGGTTGTATTTTATTTAATTGCCTGCATTAATTTAAAAAGGCACCATTATACATTATATTACTGATGGATTGATTATATTTTAGGTCTAAGTTACAGTAATAAAAGTTCAGGAAATTTTAAAAAGTAGAACTATACATAATCCTACTATCTAGACCCTATTATCCACTTTTTAAAAATAATATGACATTTTACAGATCAAAGAACATTTTAAGCTCTATACATTTAAACCAATTACAATTAAAATTTCCTTTAGTATTATATTTTCTAGCAATTGTGCCTAGCGTTTTATAAGCCTTCTATCATTTCAGTGTCTTAGCAACCTTATGAGGTGGGTACTTTTGGAGCTGTTATTTAACAGAGGAAGAGACCAGGCTTGGAAAAGTTCAGTGACTCACTCAAGTCCATTTACTTGGCAAGAGGAGGTGAAAGTGTTTTAACTAGATCTGACTGTCCTTCATCCAGCTCAGTGCCCTAACTTTACCAGCTGGAAAAAAGAGGACCCCCAAAATCTAAGTGAGTTGTCCAAGGTGCAAGAGCACCTTAATGTATGACACAGGCCTGATTATAATTTATGTTATAGGCCTGATTGTAACTTTTACAACCTCTCAGGATTACTTGCATTTCAATATTTAACATTTCTTAGCCGTCAGTGTTGGCTTTAAACCTGCTTCATGCCCCAGGTTAAATCAGCTTTATTTCATTCCGTCCTTAGTTGTCTATACCAGGGGCTCTCGACTTTTGCACACTGGAAAAATACTGAGGCCTTTAACAAATACAGATCCTTGGATCAGATCACCATTTTAAAAAATTTAATTGACCAGAGCTGCAGCCTGGGTACCAGGATAAGAGGTCTCTAGGTTAATCTTGGGATAAGAGGTCTCTAGGTTAATCTAACATGCAGGTAGGGTTGAGAAGTATTGGTCAATACATATAACAACTGGTCATCAACCCTTTCATATATATATTCCAAAACATTTTAGATCATTTTATCACCTTCTTGTATCTATGTCATGTAAAGTATTTTCATAACTTGTATGCCTAGAAGGAACAAGTAAACATCAACATATCAGGTAAATTTTTGTACAAATGAGATATGTAAAAAAAAAGATAAAGTATTGGGTTGAATTGGAATATTGAATTTCAAGCACTAATCATGTACCGTATTATATTAACTGTAACTTAAGCCATGATACAGCCTTCTGCTTCTAGTACTTATGTCAGTTAAGGAAACATAGGTCCAATTAAGTATATCCCTTAGCTCATTTGTTATTTGAAGCAAACACACTCTTTGGGTCTATGGGTTTACAGGAAACAGATTAATATAGCCAAAGTCACTTTCTCTAGCATTGCCTTTGAATTGCTTGAATGAACCAAGAATTTGTATTTATATTTGCGCTTGATTTAAAATTAAATTAAATTAATAACCAGAACTAATTCCCCAAATCAAATTTTTATATCTGTGAGAAACCTGCCCATTCACCAAGCTGTGCTTACCTGAGCAAATGGAGTCACAATCAAGTCATCTCCGTGTCTGAAAAATAAACCAAATCCCACATTAGAAGTCAGCAATAATCTGTGCTCGGTGTTTATCAATATTAAATGGCAAGTTCCACTTTCATGAATTCCCATAGAGAATTACAGTGATTCCATCCTTATTCTTCAGCACATGTTCTTCCCAGCAACTGGGTTAAAGATACGTCTTCGGGGATGTTAACCATTGTCCAACTCCCTGAGTAAACAGAGGGGCTTCTTGATCATCAGCCAGAGTCACTGTTGCTTTTTAGGCACACAGCATATGCAGTAGTAGAAATCGTGTTGCAGCAGTGGGGCCTGAGTTTTACTTTTGGCTTCTTTCTATAGTTATTAGTAAGGAGTGCTACAGAAGGAACCAGCCACTGCAGCGACTTCAGTGAGAGAACCCTTGACCATCTAACATTTGAAGGTGATTAGTATGGAGTGTTCCACATCATCCCGTGTAAAGTCTTGGACAGGCTAGGAACTGTAGATGACATGGGACTGCATCATACACTAATAAAAACCCACTGAAAGTTTCAACTGACTCACATCCCAGCCACTGTAGTTACTGGAGAATGTTACTCCGTGTGTGCTGTTGCTGCACAACTCCAGCTACACGGTGCCTGGGGTATGGGAGCGAGGTGTCAGCATGACGTGTCTTGGAGGGACAGGGAAAGGCAAGGAAAGTTGTGCAACATTCTAGTTAGAGGAAAGTGAGAAACTGGGGCCCAGTGTTCTTCTGTGGTATTTCTTCGCATGAATAATTTGAGAGAAGGATTTCCAGAGTCACCATCAGCTATTTCTTTATCTAGCTAGCTAAAGTTCTTAAATCAAATGTGAATGCTGTTATTCAACACAGACAGCTTCCTGGACATGACCCTAACTGAGAACAGTGCAAATAAACTTTTCACTCACTCATGAACGATCTGAAAAGGACTCGAGTGACCCCAAGCATCACCCATGAAATATGACGTGGTACAGGGAGCGGATGGACAATGTCACTAAATAAATTGTTACCAATAGCTAGACGAGGTGGTGTGGTCATCATCAAACCATGTGGAGATCTTGAAAATTAAAATGTGGGAAATAAAACCAAAAGAAGGTAAAAAGCAATTTAAAAGAAGCATGTGTTATTTTACACCCTCTTAGTTCCAGAAGCATGTTTTTCAAGAGGCACCTGCTCTTTGTAGAGATTATTCATAGAACTCTAGAACAATAAGAAAGTAGGACATTGGGTTTCATGATCATTTTATAAAGGAGGCAACTGAGGTTCAGAGAGGGCATAAGTTGTAAAAGCTAATAAGTAGTAGAGGCAGGATTTCAATCAAAAAAGGTATTTTCTCATCTTGAAGTTTAATTGCCATTGTAACAGTATTAAGAGGTGAAGGTCTGCAAGAAGTAATTAGGTCATGAGGGCTCCACGCTCTGGAATGAATTAATGCTGTTATGGTGGGAGTGGGTTAGTTATCTTGAGTGGGTTGTTACAAAGTGAGCCCAGCCCCTCATGCTTTTTCTTTCACATGTGCTCACTTGCCCTTCCATCTTTCCATCCTTTGGGATGATGCATCCCAAATGCACTAATCAGAGGCTGATGCCATGCCCTTGGACTGCCCAGCCTCTAGAACTGTAAGATATATACTTCTTTTCTATATAAATTACCCTGTCTGTACTACTCTGTTATAGTAACAGAAACTGGACTAAGATACTATTCTTCTGTTATCAATAAATAATTTACATAACTCTCAGAAAAAGAAAAAAAAAGTCTTCGGAGGTCAGGCCCAGAGAGGCTCTTTCCTAGAATAATGGTGCAGGGTGTGAGCAGGCCTGGTGCACTGAAGTGGTAAGGAGGCCACTGTGCCCCAGGGAGCCAGCAGGGAGGGATGAAGCCAAGAAAGCCTAGCAGTTGCCTAGATGAGGAAGAAGCAGATAAGGAGCTGCAATGAGAAGCTCAGTGATTCTAGAGAAGGCCATGCAAGGCAGGAAATGCCAGAATCGTGGGTGGTAATGAGCCAGGCTGCAGATCATGGAGACCTTGCACGACATGTACAAGAACTGGGATTTTACTCTCTGATGGAAGTTTGGGTTGGAATTTCAGTTCTGCCACATACTAGGTGTGTGAACTTGTGCAAGTTATTAAACTTCCCTTTCCCTTGGTCACCTCTTCTGTAAAATGGAGATAATAGCTCATACATATAGTGTTGTTTTGGGATTCAATAAATTAATAATGTTAAGTGCTGAAAAATGTGCTACCACACAGTAAATATTCAAAAAACATTGCTATAATAATAATTAGCAGTAGTAAATAGTTTTAAATCATAATGGTTTTTGCTTGCTATGCAGTCAGGAAATTGCAAACACTCAGAAAACTGATACTTCGTTAAGAAGAACTATTGAGCCCCTGTGACAGGTCTATAAAAGATTGAGGGCTTTAAAGGGGCAAAAGTGGAAGCATGGAGACCAGTGTAGAGAACAGAAGAGATGAGGACCTAAACTAAATCAGTGGTAGTTGAGAGAGAGAGGGAAGATGACAGCATTAAAAGCTCTGGGGGAAAGAAAAAGTTCTAGGGAAAAAAAGTTATGAAAATTTTAAACATTTACAAAAGTAAAAAGAATGTTATCATGGCAGGTATATTTTATATACAATATCAACTATTCCAACAACATTGCAAGGTAGGTGATATTACTCCCATTTTTCAGATGAGAAAATTGTAGCTCAAATTGTTTAAGAGACTTAACACAAAGACACGCAGGTAGTAAGCAGCACAGCCATGCCTGGAATGGTCCCTTTTTATGCTATGCATTGGCGGATTCCTGTGAAACAGCTTAAAAAGATTAAAAATAAAGCTCTAGGAAAATAGCCCAATAAGTACAAATTTCAAAATGATGCCAGGGCTGGTCAGCTACATTTCTTCCTTGACCTACCATTCTGACATTGCCTTCTGGCTGTGTCATATAGGCAAAATGTAGCGCTACAATTTTTCTTATGTACTTATTTTGAAACAATAGCCTAACTCCCACAAAACAACTAAGAAATACTTCCAGATACATCAGTGTTTAAAAAGCATGAACACAAAATCCAGAGCTAAGTACTACAGCATTTGACAGCTTTTTTCTTATGTACTTATTTTGAAAAAGTAGCCTGACTCCCACAAAACAACTGAGAAATACTTCCGGATACACCAGTGTTTAAAAAGCATGAATACAAAATCCAGAGCTAAGTACTACATCATTTGACAGCTTTCTACACATACAAAGACAAAGGCACCTTTAGGGTTCATTTGAAACCAAACATTCTTGTGAGTCATGGAGAAATCAGTAAACTGTGTAGTGCATTAGAAGTCCAAACACAACAGACATTTTCAATAGCTGCATATACTACATATATTGCATTCAAGATAGTTCAATAGTTTCTGAGATTAAAAATTCAGTGATGGGAGGTATATTACAAAAGGAGAAAAGACATGCCATATATGCCTACTTGATTGACCAGTTCGATAGACTATTAGTCTGACTCACTGCATGGCCAAGCTGAAGACAGATTGTTAAATGGACGAGAGGCAGTTCAGACAGCCAAAATTGAAATAACATGTAATTGTCCCAAGCTATAGTGTCTTCTTTCATTTATTCTTTCTATTTATCCTACTATGAAGTTTATTTTTTCAGAACTAAGTTATCTTGGCCAGGGCACATTATCAATCTGAAATGAATCCATGGAAATATGTCCCCTAATCTTGTACATAGATTACATTGGATTTGAATCTTTCACAACTCAAAAGGGTTGCATATTTATTAAAATGTTTAAATTTTTTCTTTGGTTGTATTTCCTTTACAAGTCTTATAAATTATATACTTAGAATATACAATATTTAAGTGATTTACCAGTCTTGCTTGACTTCCTATGAAAGCATAAAGAAAGAAAGTTATACTTTAACTGAAGGAAATATGTTATTTTTTAATAAATTGCCCAGCAATGGTTTCTTCCAAATATCTCAAGATAGTTTCATTTTAGTAACAGTAAAATGTATTCCTAGTATTTCAGTGGCAGATGTCCTCAATAAAGAGGTTATATCCTATTCATTTATTTTCAAAAGTATGTAATGCTTAAATTATCTCTGAATATGTACCTAACATATAATTAAAAAATCTTTGTCTAAGTCCTCAACTCAATATTAAAACAAATCTCTTCAGACATACTCTTACTAGTATAATGAGGCAGGTAAAACGTATTTTTATCTGTGGTTAGAAGAAAATAAATATGATACAAACATCTTTTAATTGTGTCATACAAATTGCTTTTAATAATTTAAAAACAGATCTGGTAGTTAAGATCAACAGAAGATTCACTTTGTGAATATGATTTGGCTTAAAGTATGTGTGGGTTTCAATGAATTGAATAATAACACATGCTAAAATAATTCCCATGAAATAAAATGATTCTGAAATTTTGCACCTGAACAATTTTACCAAAAAGAAACTTTATTTAAAGTGCCTTGCCAAGTAAAGTGGGGTTGGGAGGGATTATAATAAATGTAATAAATTGGGGCTTCCTGAGATGGAAAGAGACAATTAGGGTCTCCTATAAAGTGTGACTGAGAAGCTTGATTATCATTGCCTGGACACTTGAAATTGCACCTCCTGGTAATGTGAATTTTGGGTGAGGATAATGCAGTATTGACTTATTTAAATAAAAATAAATATAACAACAATAACCCTTAACAAAAACAGCTGGGATCTGTTATAAGGAAAATACAGCTCTTGGCCAGGCGTGGTGGGTTACGACTATAATGCCAGCACTTTGGGAGACTGACGTGGGTGGATCATGCGGTCAGGAGTTTAAGACCAGTCTAGCCAAGATGGTAAAACCCCGTCTTTACTAAAAATACAAAAATTAGCCAGGCGTGATGGTGCACACCTATAATCCCAGCTGCACGGGAGGCTGAGGGAGAGAATTGCTTGAATCCGGGAGGCAGAGGTTGCAGTGAGCCAAGATTGTGCCACTGCACTCCAGTCTGGGAG